CGCCCGCGGGGGGAGCGGGTGCCCCGGGGCCGTCTCCCGCACACGGACGTGGCGTTGCGCGTGCCCGGGGTGCGGGTAACACGGTGCGGGGGACGCAACTGTGGGAAGAGAGACAGGAAGGGTGCGGGATAGGCGATGCCGCCCGGAGCAGGAGGGACCCCTGGAGCCCCCAACCTGCTGCCCATGGCAGGGGCACCCGGTGCAGAGGAAGCTCCCACCTCAGCCTCGTGCTCGCTGCAATGATTCTTGCACCCTGCATCCCGCTTCTCCCGTGCAGGAGGAAGGGCCCAGGCATCCGGGAGCCCCCCTGGATCCCTCCCCTGACGCGGTGCAGCAAGGTCCCTGCAGCAGCCCTGGGGTCCCCAGGCCCCCAAGGGAGGAGGGGGCAGGGTCTCCCTATCCCATTGGCAGCCCCCAGTCCAGGCAGGCAGAGGAAGGGGAAATGAGCAAGGCTTGAAAAGAACAGGGAAGGGAAAAGAAGAGAAAAAGAGATGGAGAGAAAAAAGAGGGGAAAAAAAGGGAGGAAAAAAAAAAAAAGAAAAAAAAAACGGGAGGAGATATAAGAAACCGATAAGTGAACAAAGAGCCAGGATGGAAATAGATCTGAGGCCGGGCCGCGGTGCAGCCCTTCGGCAGAGCAACCAGACGCTTCCCCAGCGCCCACGCAGGTGCCCATGTCATCGGGGGCACTGGGTGCCAGGATTGTCCCTGTGTCCCCCTGCGTGGCCCTGCATCCCTGCACCCCCTGTGCCCCTGAGAAGCCCAAGCCAGTGCCATGGAGGTGCGGGGCAGCGCGGGGCTTGGGGCTGCCTTCGTGCTGCCCGATCCCACGCACGGGCACCTGCCCGCTCCATCCATCCCACATGGGTGCAGAGGAGGCGCACTGGGGCCGCTGGCACTCTGGGGGGCAGTGGGGCCTGTGAGGAGGAGGAGGAGGAAGGATGGAAGATGAAGGATGACCAGGCAGAGAGGTTTGTGCATGCGCTGCAAGGAGCAGAGAATGGAGCAGGAGCTGTGTGCACACAGCGCCCGTCCCACTGCCACCACCGCAGGGACCCGCCATGAGCAGGGTCCTCCATCCACTGCCCCCTCCCGCAGCGCGGGGCCAGGATACGGCCTGGGCCACCTCACTGGACCAGGCAGCAGGATGGGCCCTGCTGCCCCCTGTCCCAACGGCAGGTGGGTCTGAGCCAGCCCTGCTGCACTGCAGTGCGTGCACAAGTGTGTGTGTGTGTATGAGCACATGCGCATGTGTGCGTGGCATGTGAGTGCATCCGTGCGTGCACATGTGTGTATGAGAATGTGCAAATATGTGGGTGGCATGTGAGTATGTGTGTGCATAGGCACATGTGTGTGCATGTATGTGTGTGCATGGGTGCACGTGTGTGTTTGCATGTGTGTATGAGCACATGCACATGTGTGGGTAGCATGTGAGTACGTGTGTGCACATGTGTGCACGCACATGCATGCAGGGCCTGGCAGAGTGTGTGCAACAAGGGGGTCTGTGCAGCAGCCCACAGCGCTCTAGTCTACCCACAAGGCAGGTGCCCATGAGCAGGGGCGAGCAAGGGTGCGTGCACGGCGGGGGGGAATCCGTGCGGGGGTAGGGGGGTCCACACGGGCGGGTTTTATGTGTGTTTCG